CCCATTGGTGTGAAGCACAGAGACCACGAAGAAGATAAACAGGTTGCTTACCAGTAACTGGTGATCTTCGAGTGGTCATCTGTGCATTCACACCGCCCGCCCTCCTTCCCCTCTGCTGTCAGCTCCTGATTTTTTGATAGGTGTTGATTGGCGGCGGTGCTTTGAAGGAACTGGCGGGATCTCCGCGCCCGTCCCCTCTGGGCATGCGTGCTGGGGTTCCTGCGCATGCTCAGTGGGACTCGCGCGAAAATCCTTTGAAACATAGCTTGCTACGGCACTGGTTGGGTCAGCGCAGGCGCACTAAACCCATTGGTGTGAATGCACAGATGACCACTCGAAGATCACCAGTTACTGGTAAGCAACCTGTTTTTCTCCACAGTCTCAGGCAGAGGTCTGTCACATCATCTCGTACCTGGTCCTTTTAACTGGGAATGCCAGGGGTTGAGTTTGGGGTCCTCTGTGTGCAAAAACAGAGGCTCTTCCTCTGAGCCCGTCACTGAACAGATACTCTGTTGGGTGTGTGGAAGCATGTAAATATATCTAAGGGGCTCCTTGGATTAATGATGAACATGATCACAAACCTGGATCTTGTGGCACCATCTTTTGTGGGATTCTGTGATAATGATCAACAAGACCAGGTATCGAATTAATCACCACTCCACTTTTTTTCTTCCTTTAGCTTTGTCATCTGCCCCTCTAAGCCTCAAAGCTCTTAACAGTAATGTTATGTAAGAAGAAATACGTGCCGGAAATGTTGGTCTATAATGCTGCCTCCACCTTACCCCATTTTTCCTCAACCTTAATACATAAATTTGTCCTCTGTGCATATTTATTGAACTTTGCAGAGCTGAATTTCTCTCCTTCATAGATGTTCAAGGCCTGTTTGTGAATGACAGAAAGACCCCACAAGAAGCCATTTTTGATGGGTGTACTGACAGTGCTGTACCTTAAACATTTCACTGTTTAATCCAGGTTTAGAACCCCAGATTGTTAGGAGGAAACAAACTTCCCACTTGCCATGATGGCAAGTCAGAGTTTGATTGAAAAACGTCTAAACCCTGGAACCCCTCAGTCACTCTCTGCATGTGGAGGGAGTGCCCAATCAAGGCAGCCAGGCAAGTTTCTGTTTGTGATGAACATCCAGATTTGTTTCTAGCATTTAAATGGAACCTTTATATTCCCATCTCAGGCAA